TCTCAGTGCCCCCCAAACTCCTGGGCTGTGCCCCAGCCACAACCTCCACCCCCAACAGTGCCCCCCAAACCCCAAGTGGTGCCCACTAACCCCTCAGTGCCCCCCAACCCCCTGGCTGTGCCTTCCACCCCTTCCAGCCCCGCTGCTCCCCCTAGCCCTGGCAGTGAGCCCAGCAGAGCCCCCCATACTCCCAATCCCTGGCCCCCATGCCCCCATCACTGCCCTCTGTGCCCCCTCCACCCCAGCAGTGCCCCCAAACCCCTGGCACTGTCCCACATGCTCTCCAACCCCAGCAGTGGCCGCAGTACCCCAATCCCTGCTCTCATGTGCCCTGTCCACACCCCACACACCCCCCCATGCCTTCCCTGTGTCCCCTCACCAGAGGAGGGCCTTGATGTCGTCCCCAAAGCCAAAGGAGAGCAGCAGATCGGCCTCATCCAACACCAGCAGCTCCAGCGAGTGCCTCAGGCTCAGGCTGTGCCCGCCCAGGTGTGCCAGGACCCGCCCCGGGGTGCCCACCACTACGTCAGGCTGCTCCATCAGCACGGGCCTGGCACGCACACAGGGTAAGGGAGGGTTGAGGGGGCACAGGGGGGCACACAGTGGGGGTCAGAGGGGCACACAGGTCCCTCACCTTTGGGCAGCAGGGTCGCTCTGGGAGCACAGGTCCACCACACGCAGCTGGCGGGCGCAGAATGCCGAGAGCTGGCGCAAAGCGTGCCCGACCTGCCGGCCCAGCTCTGCCGAGGGCACCAGCACCAGGGCACGGATGGCCTGGGGCAGTGCTGGAGACGCCTGGAGGACAGGGGCTGTCACTGGGGCACACAGGGCACCCCCGAGGGCACCAGTGCCTGCACAGCCTGTGGGTACCAGCACTGACACCAGGGGGAAACAGGGACCTCAAGGACATCCTGTGCCCCCAAAGAGCCCACCCTGTCCTGGATGCCCCATGGTGCCCCCCACCACTCAACACCCCAAAATGTCCCCATAATCCCCCTGCCAGGATGCCCCCCACTACCCCTCATCCCCCGTGCCCTCACCTCCTTGATGCTGAGCAGTTTGTGCAGCAGAGGCAGCCCGTAAGCTCCCGTTTTCCCGGAGCCCGTCCTGGCCCGTGCCAGTAGGTCCCTGCCCTCCAGTGCCAGGGGAATGGCCTGGGCCTGGATGGCCGTGGGGGTTGCCCAGCCCAGCTCTGCCACCGCCTGAGGGGGGCATCGGAGTCACCACAGAGACCAGGGACAGCCCCTGCCTGTGGTGGGGGACACAGGATCATCCGCAGATACCCCCTCCCCATGGTGGGGTCACCAGTGCCCCCCATGGCCCACAGATACCCCCTCCTCAAAACGACCGTCCTCACTCTCCCACTCTGTCCCACAGACATCCCCTCCAAACCCGGGGTCCCCAGTGCCCTCCCCAGACACTCCCTCCCGATGGTGGGGATCGCCAGTGACTCCAAACCCCTCTCAGACCCCTCAAGGCCTCCCCTCGCTCCCTGTGTCCCCCTTCTGGACCGAGTCCCCTCCTCGTGTCCCAAAGCCCCCCGCCCCCCGCCCCCCGTCCCCCTACCCTCAGCAGCCGCGGGTCCAGTCCCATGTGCTCGAAGCCGGACCCCTCCGTGCCCGCAGCCATCTTGGCCGAGTCGCCTACAGACACTTCCGGTTGTGCGCACAGAGCGCCGCGGGGAGAAGGCGGGCGCCGCAGCGCCCCCTGGCGGTGGAAGACTGACACCGCCCACCCCGCTCGGGGCTGGGGGAGCCCCTGAAACCTCGCCCCCCTGCCAGGGGTCTTTTTTGCGCGGATTCATTCCCCGGGAGGGGAAAAACGCACTGCAGAAAAGTAGCTGGATGGCTGAACCCCCACCCTGCTTTCCTGCAGAACCAGATTCCCTCTCCAGTCCAAAAAAGCACCAGCGAGCCCCATTGAAACAAAAAACCCCTTTATTTTCCCCAATAAAATCTTTATTTTCCCCCAAGCAAGGGGCGGGTTCCCCCCTCCCAGATAGCAGGCAGGGTCCCCCCAACCTGCCCACCACCCCAAGGATCCCAGCAGGCAGCAAAGGCCCCTCCCCAGGTCTGCGGGAGCCCCCTGGGGTGGGTTGGATCCCCCCTTTGGGGCACGTGGGGTGATTTGGGGGAGCCCCCCAGGGGTTTGGGGTGGCTACACCAACTTCTTGGCCTCAAAGAAGCTCTTGAGGTGCCTCATCTGCCAAATGCCGGTGAGGATGAGGATGATGGTCTGGGCGATGGACCACCAGAGCACCCTCTGGTTGGTGCTCTCGCTCGTCATGCGGAACCGCTCCTCCCGGTACTGCCCCAAAAACGGGGAAAGGGGGTCAGAGGGGGGGAAACCGGGTGATCCCCCCCAGACTGACCCTGCAGGACCTCCTGCTCACCCTCTGGTAGTTCTGCTCCTTCTGGATCTGCTCCACCTGGTCCAGGAGCTGCCGTGCCCGCAGCTGCAGCTCTGTCAGCTTGTCCTTGGCCGCGATCTCAGGGTAGTTGTTGGTGTGTTCACCCACCTGGATGTCCAGGTGTACCCGCTGCAGGCACAGGAGAGTCAGGGGGGGTTCAGGGTGGCAGGGACACTCCCTGGGGTTGGGGACCCCTCCCCAGAGTTCCCAGTTTGCCCCAGCAGTACCAGTTTTCCCCCAGCGAACAGGGCCATGCGGGTGGAGTTGGAGTGCAGGCAGATCTGGTGCTCCCCCGGCGTGTGGGACGTGAAGGTGAAGCGACCCTCGGAGCCATACTGGCGGGACAGCACCACCTGGGACAGGGACAGTGTCACACATAGCCCAGGGACACACAGGAGCACTGGGACACCACAGGTACAGGGACAGCACCACCTGGGAATGTGGCAGGAGGTGTTACACCCCCAGGACTAAGACAGGGCCACTGTAACACCCTGGGGACGCTGAGACAGGGCCACTCTCACTCACCCAAGGCCACAGAGACAAGGCCACTGCCCTGTCCTGGGGATGCCCACCTTTCCGTCGGGGTCCTTGACCTCCACGTGCATGCCCAGCCCGGGAGTGGAGGGCAGGAACGACTCGGACTGTTTGTCCCACAGCTGTGTCCTGTAGTTCCCTGGGAACGGGGGAGATACGGGGTCGGGGAGGGTCCAACCGCCACACCAGTGCTCCCCAGCCCGGCCCCCCATCCCCCTTCCCGGGGGCCCCTCTTGCCCCTCCCCATCGCGCCTGGGGGGTTCCTCAGTCCCTCCTATCGGCCTCCCCCCCAAATCGGTGGTCTCCAATACCCGGGGTCACTCCTGTGACATCTCCGGTGACCCCTCCCAAATCTCGGTGATCTCTCCCGCTCCCAAAAAAGCAGCCGGTGGCCCCTCCCGGTCCCCGGTGGTCCCTCCCTTTCCCTCCCACATCCCAGTGGTCTGAATTCCTCCTCCCCCCCGCCGTACCCAATGGTCCTTCTCATTACCCCCAATCCGCGGTGGTCCCCCCCGCAACCCCCCATGTCCCTGGTGGTCTCTCCCCCTCCCCGCCACAATGGTCCCTGCCGTGCCCCCTCCCCCCGCACCGATGACCATGGTCTCGTCGGGGATCTCCTCGATGAAGCAGCGCTTCTCCGTCTCCCCGATGTGGAAGTAGAGCCCGTGTGCGCCGCAGCCGAGGAGCAGCAGCACCAGCGCAGCCCCCGCCGCGCTCCGCGCTCCCCGCGCCGCCATGGCCGTGCCGCTGCCGCCCGCGGGGGCGCTCTGCGCATGAGCCGCCGCCTCGCGGCGCACGCTGCGCCTGCGCTTCTCCCTCTCCCAGCGCCCCGCGGCTTCACAGCCCGCACTGCGCGTGCGAATCTGCCGCCCTGCCCGCCCTGCCCTGGCGTGGCGGCTTCGCTCGGCTCAGTGCGCATGTGCTGCTCGCCCGCGGCCACTCAGCGCTGCCCACGCGGCTCCTGCTGCTCTCCCGCCGCCCTCACTGCCCACGCGTGCGACGCCTTCACGCGGTGGCGCAACAGGGAGGGCGCTGCCCCCGCGCTGGCGAGACCGTGGGTTCGAGCCCCGCAGCGGCCAATCGGGGGTCTCACTGACCCCCTGTCACGTGTCCGTGTCGCCCCCCGCGATGTGTCACCTCAGGTGTCACCCCCCCACCCCGAGGTGCCGAGCGCTGGGCAGGAGCGGGCCCCGCCTCCCTCCCCAGCAGTGTGGCAACACCACCGCCACCCTCCTTCCTTCCTTCCTCCCTCTCGCGGTCCCGCAGCATGAGTGGGATGGGGGGTCCCGCGGGTGAGAACGGGGACCCCCGGCAGGGCCCGGCGGGCCGGGAGGGGAAGTGGAACCGCGGGACTTGTTACGCCACTGGGAGCCCCCCGCCCCCGCGGGACAGGGATTTCGGTGGTGTTATAAGAGTGTGGGGTGCTGTGGCGGTGTTGGGGTTCCAGGGGTGCCAGGGCGGTTCCACGGTGCCATGGCTGGCGCACTCACCCTCATCCTCTTCTTCCTCCTCTGTGCAGAGGCCGAAGGCTTCTCCCCCTGCCAGGCACCCAGCCTGCAGACCAAGGTGTTCCAGTACCGGTAAGGAGGGCAGAGGGCACCCCCAGGGGATCCGGGGAGGTGGCAGAGGGTGGCACCACTGTCTGTGCCCCCACAGGCTCTGGGATGTGAACCAGAAGTCGCTGTACCTGCAGGATGACCAACTGCTGGCCGGGCATCTCCAAGGGGCCAACGCCGCCCTGGAAGGTGACAAGGAGACATGGGGGGGGACATGGTGGGGGTGGGGGACCCTGACCCTAACCCTGATGGCCCCCCGGGTATGTGACCCTCAGAGAAGGTGTTCTGGGTGCCCAACCGGGCCTTCGAGCCCACCCGGCTCCCTGTCATCCTGGGCATCCGCAACGGCACCCGCTGCCTTGCCAGCCACCCCAAAACTGGCACCACTCCGGCACTGCAGCTGCAGGTGGGACAGACACAGGGGCAGGGGTATGGGGACACTGAGGGAGCACCAAAGGGATGGGGACACCATGGGATGGGGACACTGTGGAACAGGAATGCCAAGGGGATGCAATGGGGATGGGGACACCACAAGGGTGGGGGCATGGGGACTGCAGGGATGGGGACACAGGGACCTCAGGGATGGGACAGTGTAGGGACACGGGAACTGTGGGGATAGGACACTGGGAGGATGGTGCCACCGCAGCCCCCGCTGGCACAGTGCCTGTGTCCCCTGCTGTGGTGCCCACCAGGGCATGGGTGACCCTCCTGTCCCCGCAGGCCGTGGACATCCGGGAGCTGCCCCACACTGGGGAGGCCTCGGCCGCCTTCACCTTCTTCCGCTCCTACAAGGACGGGCTGTGGCGCTTCGAGTCCGCTGCCAACCCTGGCTGGTTCCTCTGCACCTCTGCCCGGGGCCACCAGCCCCTGGCGCTGTCCCGCAGCCACGATACCACCCACCTGCTCGACTTCTACTTTCAGCTCTGCTGAGCCCCCTCTGGCACAGCCATGGGGACACTCCCAACTGGGGACAGGGACATCCTCAGCCTGGAGACAATGGCACCTCCCCCAGGATAGCGCCAGCCTCTTGGGGAGGATGACATCCCTCCCAGGTTGGTGACATCCTCACCCCGAGGATGCTGCCAGCCCCCTGATGAAGGTGACATCCCACTGGGGGAAAGTGACATCCTCACTCCAGGGTAGGTGCCATCCCCCCAGGATGGTGCCATCCCCTTTGGAAGGGTGGCATCCTCCCCAGGAGAGTGACGTCCTGGGGATGGTGCCAGCCCCGTGGGGACGGTGACATCCTCACCCCCAGGATGGTGCCGCCATACTCCCCCCTGCGCCAGCGAGGCAATAAAGATGCTCAGGCCAGAGCGGTGCCTGTGGCGTGGGTGACACAGGGGGCAGGGCACGGGGTGGTGGCGGTGGCTGCGTCACCCGCGGGGTGTCCCAGGTTGCGCCACTGGCCCGTGGGGACAGGAACGGCACGTCCCCAGCCCGGGGTGACGCAGCTGGGGCTGCCCCAGGCCGGGCACCTCCGGGGCCGCCCCTTCCCGGATCCCGCGGGGAAACGACGCTTCCCGCCCGGCACACCCAGCCTGGCACCGCGGGAAGGGGACACGAAACAGCACATGTGGGACACGCAGGGCTGTGGCAATGGGGCACGGGGACACCGTGGGGACAAGCACAGTGGGGCCACAGGGACAGGGGGCACAGGACCATGGGGATGGGACACGGGATTATGGGGACAGGGCACTGGGGACACACCAGTACCTGTCGGACAAGGCTGGTGGGGGGGACGTGGCACAGGGGACATCCCTGCCACAGTGACCATGGACATCACAGTGGATAATGGGGATGAGGGGCCCAGGTGGCATTTCCCCATCCCAGCCTGGCACTGCCCTACAATCACCAGGGCGGGCTCTGCCCCCCGCCCTGCCCAGCCCTATAAAGCCACCACCAAACCCAGGGGACAGAACCCGGAGAGGACTGGACCTCGAGAGCTGCCGGAGTCACAGGTGCGTGGGAAGGGGGAGAGGGACAGGCCAGGTGCTGCCTGGAAACAACACCCAGGGCTGGGAACAGGAACAGGGACAAGCCAGGTCCTGCCCAGGAAGGATTCCCAGGGTGTTCACTCTGGATCCTCCTGATGGCTGAGGTTGGCAGCAGGGGACAGGGGTGAGTGGCAGGGGTGTCCTCCACCTGGGTCATCCATGTCACCCGTGTCCCCCTCTCCCTCCAGGCCCAGCCATGTCCTGCGTGTCCAGAGCTGCTGTCAGGTGAGCAGGGACAGGGTGGGGACAGGGCTGCCCCTCCTCTTGGACCTGGGATGGGTCACCTTGTGTGACACCCACCCTCACCCCCTCTCTCTCTCCCCTCCCCGTTGCAGAAGGGTCCGGGGTCCCCGGGGACCCCCTGAGCAGTCCAACTCCCTGGGAGTCCTGGCGGAGCCCGGGAACATGGCCGAGTCTGTCATCGACCCCGACATGGAGGCCCTGTTCCAGGACTTCCTGGGGAGAGGTAGTGCCTGCTGGGTGCCCCACGGGTCCCCTGTGTCCCCAGGTGTCCCTGTCCCATGCCCCATGTTCCCCATGTCTCACCTGCCCTTCACCCATGGCCCCCATCTCCACATCCCTGTGCCCACGTCCCCATGTCCCTGTGTCCCCATGTGTCCATTCCCACCATGTCTCTCATCCCCACATCCCTGTGTCCTGTCCCCGTGTCCCCACATGTCCCTGTGTCCCCAGAGGTGCCAATGGTGGCCTCGGCGTCCCCGCGCCCCTCGGCCCAGCCGTACCACTACGTGCTGCGGGACTCGGAGCAGAAGGGGCTGTGCCTGCGGGATGGGCACCTGGTGGCCACCAGCCTGCAGGGCGCCAATGCTGCCCAGGAAGGTGGGTATCATCCGTGGGGGAGGGTGACCCCCCCTTGAGGGCCCCCACCCACCCCTGTGTCCCCACAGAGCCCATCAGCGTCGTGCCCAACCGGCACCTGGAGCGCCGGCGCTGCCCCCTCATTGTGGGCATCCGCGGGGGCACCCGTGCCCTGTCCTGCGGCACCGGCCCCGAGCCTCAGCTGCACCTTGAGGTGAGGGGGGGACCTGGGGGGCACCAGAGTGGGGGCAGCTTGGGAGGGGCACTGAGGTTGGTCAGCCCAAGGTAGATGATCCAAGGTGGGGGGCACCCTGAGGTGGTGGGGACCTGGTGGTGATGTCACTTGGAGGTGAGGGTTTCTTGAGGTGGGGTCGCCTGGAGGTGAGGTCACCTGGAGATGGGGGTTCCCTGGGATGGTGCCACCCTGGGGTGGTGTCCCAGCTCTGTGTGTCCCTGCGGCAGGACGTGGGGTTGTTGGAGCTGTTCTCACAGGAGGGGGATGAGGCCAAGCCCTTCACCTTCTACAAGACCTTCGGGGGGTCCACGCACACCTTCGAGGCCGCAGCGTTCCCAGGGCTGTTCCTCAGCACAGCCCCAGGCCCAGGGGAGGCCCTGGCCATGGCTCCCCCCCACGGGGCCACCGCCTTCTACCTGCGCCGAAAGTGACCCCAGCACCCATGGGGGGGGGGGGCACCCATGGTGGGGGACATCCATGGGTGGGAGAGTCCTCCCTCCCAAATAAAGTGACACTGTTGGTGTCAGCTTGGGGTGTGTCATTTGGGGAGGGGGGCCAGGATCGGGCTCCAGGGGCAGGATTGGTCCATAGGGAGCAGGGGGGATCCAGGGAGGGGCGGGTGGACTCATGGAGAGGCAGAATCGGACCCTGAGGGAGCAGGATCAGCCTGCGGAGGTGCTTGGGGACCATCTCACCCAAGCCCGTTGCCGTGGAGGGGCAGTCAGTTCATGCTGGAGCCAAGATCAGTGCAAGGGGGTTCAGATTCATCCCACGGGGGGTTCGGAACCATCCCTCGGGGGTCAGGATCATCCCACGGGGTTCAGGATCGGTCCATGGGGCTCAGGATCATCCCACGAGGTTCAAGATGATCCCACGGGGGGTCAGGACCCCCAAACCATTGCGC